ATTAATGGGTAACCATTATAATTTGTTCCCATACTTTAAATCTTAAAAGAATAAAGGGTACATCAGACCAGAAGATGTCATCTCCTCTTGCTCAAGCCCATGTTTCCAATGAACCAGTTCTTTGGGAGACATGTACTTTATGGGAAATGCTGTGTGTGTTAACAGATAAACAGAAATGACATTTAATTTCAAGCTCCTTAGTAACATACAACAAAGGGGGAGGACAAGGTCAGCCAAGATGGTAAAGGACAAAAGTATTTCATGTCCCATTACTTCAAATAGTGTACAAGTGTAGCAGCTAAGATAGTGTTGAATGCTTGCCAACTTCATATAGAAGGGTTTATAGCAAAGAACTAGAAAGCCTTGATACTTCCCATTGCTGTCAAGTCAACTCACAGCGACCCTACAGGACAGAGTAGAACTGCCCCAAAGTGTTTCCAAGGTTGTAATCTTTACAGAAGCCACATCTTTCTCCCATGGAGTGGCTGATGGGTTTGAACCACTGACTTTTCAGTTGCAGCCAAGCGCTTTAACCACTGCACCACCAGGGCTCCTTCCTTGATATTTAGAGACCTCAAAATTCTCTATTTTCTGTTGAGATAATTGTTTTTATAGCTAGCATTTGAGCTATAGACCAAGTGCTGGCAAACTACAGTCAGCTGGTGACATCCAACCCACATCCTTTTTTAATAGTTTTTTTTTTTTTTAAAAACAGGTATGCTTGTTCCTTTATGCATAGTCTCTGGCTGCTTTTGCAGTGCAACAGCAGAGCTGAGTAGTTTCAACAGATGCCCTTTGGCCTGCAAAGACTAAAAGATTTACTATCTGGCCCTTCATAGGAAAAGTGTGCCAATCCTTGGTGTAGACTAAAGAATGGAGATATACAAGTATTCATAAATTTATTAAAGTAATCCCTAAACTTCTATCACAGGTTCTGTGGGCCTCAAAGACAGATCCAGGGGAAAAGGTGGTGATCAAGAAATTGCCAAAAACAGGTCATTATCCATATTTATTAAGCACTTGCTGCATTTAGGGCAATATGACTGAAAGTTAATTAAAAGTATTTCCTCTGTCATACTAATAATGCTCTGCACCTTAAGATATTTAATGATCAACTAAGTCAGTATTCTTTAGGAAAAGAGAGAGAGCGAGAGGGAGATTTTTTGGCAAGTAAATTCAAAGTACATTAGAACCTGAAAATCTGAACACTATTCTCTTTCCGCGTCTCTCTCTCCCCAGCCCCGCCCACCTTTCTTCTCTCTTTACTCCATTCCTTCTCCTCTTTCTGCGATGCCTTCCTTCTTGCTGCTGCAGGGAGTTTTGCTACATGTGATGAAAAGTGCAGCTCCTGGCAGTTCTAGGCATACATTATTCCTGCCATCATCAGAGAAGCCACTTCTCTTATCCAGCCTCAGGACAGAAATCACAGGGATGCAGGTTTAAGGACTACTTTGGGACATGCTCTCATTCCTGAATCAATCACCATGGCCTAGAAAATGCAGTACAACAATTGGCCCATCTCAGTTCTTGGGTGACTCCTGTGGTTATAAGGTTAAATCTGGCTATAAATGAAAAGCAGAAAAGAGGAGGTGGTGTGCTGAGAAAAGGACAACCACAAGATGAGCACGTAGGCTGCTCCACAATATCAACTAGCTCTCCCACGACGTTAAGTCACAGACCTGGAGAAATTCTAAGAGGATATTGCATCTACTTTCTGATTTAGGCAGGAGTCTTGTAAATCATATTTGATTGTTTAATACATCCTAATTTAAAAACCTCTCTAAATTTTATAGCTTCATTCATCTGTTTCTCAAGAAATTCTTTATTCTCCATGCTAGAGTCGATGCTTAGAATAGACTAACAATGTTATGTCTATCTTTAGCCACCTTTTTCTCAGGTCAAGTACTTCTAATTTCTTAATTCCTCCTTAAGACCCTATGGCTGAGACTCCACTTTTTTTTTTTTTGGTCTCTCCTAAGATTTGTTGTGGAAAATTTGTTACACCCCTTCTTAAAATATGAACTCAGAATATGACACTGGGCAATGATGTAAACAGTCCGGGATAGATTTGGATTGTTCACTTTGGAATCAGATTCACCTGGGAAGAAATCCTAGCTCTGCCAACTTATTGTATGATCTTGTAATAATTAATATGCCCTTTCACAGGTGAAGACTCTAAGATATTCATTTTCCAAATATTTATTGAAGATCTACTCTATGCCAGTGTTTGGGAAGCAATAATGAACAGGAGAAATATGGGCCCTACTCTCACAGGCCTTATATGTCAAGGAGAGTATAGACAAGTTTATTGGCTGTTTCAATACATTGTAATAGGTATGTAAAATGAAATACTGGATTACTGGATACTATAGAACATAGAAGTGGTATGCAATCCAGACTTGAGGGCACGGTAAGTAGGAAGTGGTATCTAAGGTGAGAGCCTAAGTAATCAGAGAAAGGAGAGGAGGAAGAATAGGAATTGAGCAGTGTTTCCGGGCTGAGTACGTGGCATACACACCATGATACAAGAGAGCATGGTGATTTCAAGGAACTGAATGTTGTTCAAGTATTAGTCAGGGATTTCAGGTGGCAAGTTACAGAAGTCCATATCCAACTAGCAAAATTAAAAAGTAAATGTATTTGTTCATTGACCAACCTATGGGTAAACTTGGCTGGCATCAGGAATGACAAGATATGGGGACTGAAAAAAACGCCATGATTCTCTTCATCTCTGCCTCTGACTTCTGCTTCTCTTTTAGTTAGATTTGGTCTCTACTTCTGTAGACTATTTTCTCCACACAACTGAGAAAATGGACACCAGCAGCTCTGAATTCATTATACAGAAGCTTTGCTATTGTAGAGGAAATAGAGATGCTATTTTTTTTTTGCTCCAGCCTGAAAAAAATGTCAAGAATTGTGCAGGGTGGGATTTGTACCCTCCTTACAAACTAGTAAGTTAGCCTGCCACAGTTTCATGAATGCTGGCAGAAGGTACTAGACTCCTGGGTCAGAGACAAAGAACTTTAATTCTCAGAGCACAGTGGGCAGCATGAGCTTCATGTTCACCCTTGCCCCCAAGTCCCATGGGGGTGATGCAGAGCACTTCCGGTGAGTGATGCGCACACAGTGGGCCTGTGTCCCAGCTGAGGATCCCTGATCTTCGGAAACCCCTGTCTTATAAAGGGGTTGCTAGCAAACCTACCCAAACATTGCTCTGCAGGGAGACTTTTAGTATCCTGGTCAGGAAACAAATCTGCCCTCTGACCCAAAGGGAACACTCTCTCTAGCTTCCAAGGTTGTTTACTGTGCAAACATCTTTGAAAAGGTAAGTTATAAGCCATGGAGATCAATCCCTCCACCACAAAACCCCAGAGAAGGAATCAAACTGGTGAATCTTGGGTCATGTGCCCATCCCTGGGTCAGGCACTTTGTCCAAGGAGATGGGGTAGAATTATTGGCTCTGCCAAGGTCAACTTCCTTCCCCTGAGAACAGGGGTCAGAGTCAGTTACCAAGAAATTAGAAATGTGATTTACAAAGATGAGTCACTACATTATGATTCAGTATTAGAGTGTAAGTTTTAAGGCTGAAGAGGTAAGATGAGGTCAGATCATGAAGAATTATGTGGGTCACGTAAAGGAGTTTGGAAAGTTTCCTATGTGCAGAGTGATTTGTTAAGTAATTTTGTAATGCAGTAGTATTAGGGCCATCTTTAGAAAGATCACACTGGCACAGATTTTAGCGATTGGCAGCAAAAAGTGAGAAGATGAGTTAGGGGCCTGCTTCCACAGTCAAGGTAAGAGAGAACAGGGGCCTGAACCATGATAGTGGGGACAGAGAAATGGGCAAATCTGAAGATATTTTGGTAGCAGCTCTAGGAAGAGAAGGCAGAATCAAGAACAAATCTGTTTGAGGAAACAGTGAACTGAGATACAGAACATAGAAAGAGTAGCTGGTTTTAGGCGGAAAAGAAGGCAAATTTAGTTTTGAAAATTGTGAACTTGAGGTAGGTTGGGACACAAAGCTAGATTGAGATGGATTAGGAGACATTTGTATGTCATTGGCAGGAGGAGGGTTAAATAGAGAAAAGACCTTCAGGACAAAACCTGAAGAACACTGATATTTGAAGGACAGGCATCCGAATATGAGCCTGCAAAAAAGATTGAGAAAGAGTATCCAGGATGGTAGGAGGAAAACCAGGAACAGACAGTTCGATGGAAACCAATAGAAGTAAAATTCAAGAACACAGATTGACTTGATTCATTCTTTTTAATGGCTGTGCAACATAACATAGTATGGTTATACCAAAATGTAACAGAAGAACTAAAAACAAAGAACTCAAACCAAGCAGAAGTTAAACAATGTCAAATGTTCTAAAAAGACAAAGTTCTGCTTTGTGAAAGGGGGAGCCCATCAAACTCACAGGAGCGATGTGGGGTTAAAGTTGATCCTACAAGACACTCCTTGTTCAATGAAGGCAGTCAGTGTCAATGATTTTCCTGGATAAAATTAGTTCCTGTGATTTACACATGGCTCAGATTATGCTCTTCCTCTTAGATGGTTTTCAATCACTCCTGCAAATAACCAGTCATTGCATCTGTACTAGTGTAGCTCTTTGGTGCTCCATTTTACTTGTCCCATATAAGTGTGCCTTTTTTCCCCCTTCCGAGTACGCCACTGGTACCAAAACTTTTGGCTTATTGATTGCACAAAAACTCATGGACTCATTGGCAGGATAAGTAACATTTTATTTCTATTCATCTCATAAATGTAGGTCAGCTCTGGCTCATTAGTTCTCCCTCAAACATCAGTGAGAGGGGCTTTATAAGGTGAGTAGAATGCTCTGCTGCTTTCCAGGGGGGGTATTTCATAAATTTTTATTGTGTATGTGTGTGTTTGTGCACAAGGTCCCCTGTTGGCACAAATGGTTTGTGCCCGATCGCTAACCTAAAGGTTGCTGGTTTGCACCCAGTCAGCAGTACTGTGGAAGAAAAGGCCTGGAGATCTGCCTCCCTTCAGATTACAGCCAGGAAAATCCTATGGAGCAGTTCTACTCCACACACACGGCGCCATGAGTCAGAAATGACCCAACAGCAACTAACAACAACGTGTATGCACACATGATACTCTTACATTTTCTACACCTGTTTCTTTTCTCTTCCCCCAGAACTAGCTCAAATAAAATTTCTCAGCTTTCTTTAGGAAAGGGGAGTGGGGGTATGTGCCAATCCAACAGAGGAGACAAAGAAAGCAGGAGCAGGCTGGGAAAGTTATTTTATAATTCATTAGTATGTATTAGTACCTTTTACAATTATTCTTTTTATTAAAAAGAACTAAAGAATGTTTTAAGATCAGAAACCAATAAGAAGTTGCATATTTTAAAAAGATTTACCACTTGCTTTTTAGGGCTTTATTGGCTATTATCAAGTTTCAATATATTTCAAATAATTAAATACTGCAACTGGGACTTTAAAAATACAAAGTAATTTACCAAAATAATTGTATTCTGAATATTATGTACAATATTATACATTTTACATTACATAAAGGGTTTTTATACATAAAGGTAAGATTTGATTTATGATTATTGAAAAGCCAAACTACACTTGAACAAAACATTCCTATGCATACACACACAATCACTCAACTGGGATAATCAAAACCATACATGAATGTGGTTATTAAAATGTGAAATTGCATTCATACAATAAGGGGAGAAACAAATTTGACTTTATTAATTTGAATGTGATTACAAAACCACATCCATATGAATTATATTACTTTGTTCTCATATATTTAAAAAGCTTTATGGTTATGACTGAGATCTCTCTATTCAAGGGGAATTTTGGGTTTTTAATTTTTTATTGTAGGAATTTATTATAATTCATAATCATTAAAATGCTTATGCACAGGCAAAAAGCAGACCCAATCCCAGCAAATACAAAAGTCATAAGGTTATATCATACCATCGTGTGTATCTTGTATGGTTTCAAAAAATAATCCTATTACGCAGTTTGGTATGCCTTCATATTCATACTCATCATCAAACTGATTATGTGTTGAGGTACAGAGCTTAAAGGGGAAGTATATATTATCGTAGATAACTAAATACTGAAATAAGGAGATCACTGAATGACTTTTACACTGAGAGTGGGTTCTCACGTAGAAAACACCACCCATACACACTAAGTTAGTTTTTAAACAACATGTCAGTCCTTCAAAAAGGTTAATACTCTGATGTGTTTCACCTTGTTTGAACACTGAAATATCTAATCTTCCAGGATACGGCCAAATGAATTTTAGTACTATTTCACTTTTAAATTCATTCCTCTCAAGTAGAACATATATGATTTTAAGTAATCGCTAACATTTTTGTAACTGATCTGAAAAAATCAGAAAAACAATGTCTTCACTCTGCCAAAAAATTCAAAAAATGCCTTTCCAACTGTATGCCACTCTGCATGTGGACCTCGTTCTACAGATACAAACACAGGTGAAAATTCTGTCAGAACCTGGAAAAGTAAGCAATTAGTAAATAGACCTTTCTCCTTAAAGTTTGCACAGCATCTTTCAGTTTCACTGCTTTTATATCCTGCACTTTATCAAAGTCAAACAGAACACTGGGAAACTACCAGATAGAAAGGTAACAATCTGAAACATATACAAAATTGATGTTCTTTCCAACATCTCATAATCTTTGAAAAATGAGATTCAGAGCCTAAGGTTTGCTTTATTGTTTTTCTTCTGCATGTTTAGCTTGAATATAAAAGAAGCTCTAACCTAGGTTATCAAAATATATTCATATAAATGTATGAGTATTTCTAATACAAAAGTTAAAAAAGTCTAAATTCTTCTTTTCTGTAATTAAATATTCTAGAGTTCAGTAGGCAGATTTAGTTTTGAGCAGCTTGAGAAGAACCCCTTGGCTGAGCATTGTCTGTGGGATTGAGCACAACTACATTTCAGCTCTTCGATGTGATTTCTCACCAACAGCAGCCCCATCTTCTTCCTCCTCGTCCTCCTCCTCATAGTGTTCCTCTCGGCCTTTGGGGCGGTTGTCCTCTCGAATGTCTCGCTCTTCTCCATCATTGTTTTTATCATCAACCTTAAAAGACAGAAGAAAAACTAGGTAAGAGAGAGAAAATAGGGTTAATGATATAAACAATTCCCTCTTAAAAAAGGTTTAAAATTATTCATTTATGGCAAAAGGAAACAAGGGACGAAAAATAATCCTATAGACAACAGTGCTCGTCTCTCTTCATCATCACGGTGTCATAACTTTTCCTAATTCTAAGTTGGCCTGTTAAACTCAGTGGCACCTCCAAGATACCATTACCCACTGGTACCTCCGGAGACCTGGTGGTGCAAAGGTTAAGCGCTCAGCTGCTAACTGAAAGGTTGGCAGTTTGAACCCACCCAGCCACTTCACAGGAGAAAGACGTGGCAGTCTGCTCACATAAAGGTTATGGCCTTGGAAACCCTATGGGACAGTTCTACTCTGTCACACAGGGTCGCTATGAGTCGAAAATTGACTCAACAGCACCTAACAATCACCACTACCTCAGAACAAGCAAGTAAGCATTCTTCTACCAAATTATACAAATATAAATATAAAAATATGTATTTATCTTCTACACCTTTTTTGAACACTGAACTGTCATACATACATTCACACATGGAAGATACATATATATCCTACCCATACATTTTCCTTATTTTCACCATAGGTCTCTTCAGCATTATGCTCCAATCCCCTTTTTTTCTCTTCAGTCAAATCTTCCTGAATCTAAAACAAACCAGAGGTACTATGTGACATTTTTATCACCTAAACAATTGCAACAAATTCTGACCTCCAAAAAGTTCACTCAAAGTAGCAGAAACAAAACTAAACTTAAAAAAAATGAAAAAAGATAAAAGTCAAAGGTGTGACTTGTGTATTAGATATGATGAAACGTATGACATACCTACTATAAAAGTCAATGTGACTGATTCTGAATCTAGGAATTTGTGTCTGAATTTCTGATTTCTTTGGATAAGGATTAACACTCCCAAGTATAACACCTGGAGAAATTCAGTTTATAAAGCTAAAAATCCCCCCTTTCCAAGTGGAAAGAACTATGTAAGTCTGAAAGCACTGGTAGATTTTAAGTCCTATGAAGGCAAGAGGCATCTGTTTTACTCAACTCGCTGTCTTCAATACTTCGATGTATACCTGGCACAATTACAATTGTTTAATAAATACTCTGGAATAAATGAGTCAATGAATGAATGAATAAGTAAATTAATGCAAAAAAAAAAAACCCTGCTCTGTAAAGGCACAGAAAATAGACACCACTGCCTATATAACAACCTAAAGCATTTATTTGATAATTAAGAATAAACTTCTCTGGCTAAAATATCTACAAAACAGCATGTGATTATTTCCATTTCTTCATGAAATAGTCCATTACACTGCCTCAAATCCCTGCCTCCCTACAGTGTTCTAACATGACATTGCCCTGTTTTAAGTCGTTTTCCTTTATGTACTCTTTTATTACTGTGTTTTCATTGATCCCAATTATTTATCTCAAAATGCAAATCAAAGAAAATGGCCTAATGGTATTTTTGCTAAACAATCTCTAATGCATATGATCATATAAAATACAGTGTAAAATGCTGTCTAACTTGTTGACTATTTTGAACACCATATTATGTCAGAAGGTTTAAGTCATTTGAATACACTTTTAAAAAGCACTGAATATCAGTTAAGCACAATGTAGTGTCCTGGGATCAAAAGAAAGACTGATCTGTCCTTGGATTGTAGTATGATAGGAATTCTTCTTGAATAACACAAAAAATTACAGAATTTTGGGGGGCATGGTGTGTTAAAAATCTGAAAAATGAGCAAGGAAGGAAAGTATGCAGGTGTTAATTAAGGAGCAAAAACTGACAGGCCATCTCAAGGTGTCCAGCTCAAGTGAACCAGGAATGAACTGCTGTCTCTTAGACCAGCTTTGGAAGGAACCTGGCCTACAGTAGCCTATAAAGGTGATTCTTCAGAGATGCCCTAGACAGAGCCAAGCCTTCACTGACCTCTTCTAACCAGCCATACATGGACACCAAATATATTCTCAGGACTGAGGCACCAAGCATCTTTTGTATTCACATTTTCCTGGTGGATCGAGCTTAAAACACCTTTGTCTCACTTTATGACTCTATCAAGGAGCTCTGGTGGTGCAGTGGTTAAGCACTCACTGCTAACTGAAAGAACCGACCAGCCACTCCAGGGGAGAAAGATGCAGCAGTCGGCTTCTGTAAAGATTTATAGCCTTGGAAACCCAAATGGACAGTTCTACTCTGTCCTATAGGGTCGCTACAAGTTGGAATCGATTCTACAGCAACGGGTTTGTTGGTTTGGTATGGCTCTAGCAGTGGTCCATGACATCTCTTCTGCCCTTAGTCACAAAACCTCATAGTATCACCCCACAGGACACTGGGATGAAAACAACGAAGCACTTATTTTACACTATTTGAAGGTCTGATGAATTGAAACATCATTAAATTACTGAAGTGTCCCTGTTGAACGTGTCATCTATACAGCCTTAATATATGTGTGTGTGTGTGTGTGTGTGAGATGGAGCAGTGGTTAAGTGATATGGCTGCTAACCAAAAGGTCAGCAGTTCAAATCCATCAGCTGCTCCTTGGAAACCGTATGGGACAGTTCTACTCTGTCCTCTAGGGTTGCTATGGGTCAGAATCGACTTGACAGCAACAGGTTTTTTATACAGCCCTAATAATGAAAATAAATTATTAGTGAATACTAAACATGGGTATAGCTGTGGAGGTAGGGGGGAGGAACTGACTTGAAGTTACACAGTATGGTACAGAGAACACGTAACTCAGAGGTTGGCAGATTTTTCCTGTAAAAAGTTAGATACTAAATATTTTTAGCTTTCTGGGCCATAGGGTCTTTGTTGCAACTACTCAACTCTACTGTTGTGGTGTAAAAGCAGCCACAGACGATACGTAAGGCCATGGGCATGCCTGTGTTCCAATAAAACTTTCTTTACAAAACAGGCTGCAGGCCAGTTTGCTCACCCAGATGTAAAATATGAAGTCAGACTCGAACTAACTAGCTATAGAAACAATAAGGTCATTTGTTTTTATTATGAAACATTTCAAACATGCACAAATAATGAAAATAATTCAGTGAAACTCTTATAACCATCACAAAGGTTCAAGAACTCTCTCGATGCTGCCACACTTACATCATCACTTTATTTTTTTTGATGAATTACTTTCAAAGTTTCTAGACATTATGTTATTTTACTACTACGTATCTCAGTGTGCATCTCTAAAAATAACGGACATTTGCTCAGACAGCCATAATGCCATTTCCACACCTGATAAAATTAATAATTTCTTGGTATAATCTAACAGCTAGTCCATTTTCCTGACTGTCTTAAAAATGTCTATTATGGTTGGTTGGTTCTAATCATGATCCATACAAAGGCTTCGTTCTACTCCCCTCTTTCATCCTTAATGCTACTGACTTGTCGTGTAAAAAGACCCACATTCTGGATTTGTTTACTTCTTTGTGGTGTTACTTCACTCATTCATCTAGCCTCTACATTTCCTTTAAATGGAAGTTAGCACTCAGGTTTAACTTAAAAAGTAGGGGTATTTCAGAGGTGGGAGGTGTATATTTCATATTTTCCTCACATTAAAAGACACATCACATTTGTTTGTCCCACTTTTAGTAAGGCTAAAATTGTCCAGCAAGTGCAAACAGTGACAGCCTGAGCCTTTCATAGGAGAGCTCTCCAACCTCCCTTTATTTAGTGATTTCTTCCATTATTTCTTGAATCAATCGTATTAATTAGGGGTCACAAAATGGCGATGGCGACTTTCTACTTATATCATTCCTTCTGCATTTACTAACTTCTATAAAGAAGAACTTGTTCACATTGGCTAGTTACCCTAAGATACAGTCTATACGAGAAAGGCAGGATAAATTCTTGATTCTTTCCTAGTAATTACCAATTTTCAGAGTAAGAGTTGATGGTTCAACTACTTCCAATAGTGTCCAATGAGGAGGAAGAAGAGTTATCATCATCATTATTATCTGCTTGCTTGCTTTCAGAGAATCATTAAAACCCTAGGTCTTTACATATTCAGTATAGTTAAATCACTTATACTATTCTTTTCTATGCTCTCATTCTCCCATCTTTGACTGACAGAAATTCCTTCATATTGGCTCCTGTGACTTTTGATATAACTTACTCAGTCCTTTTCAACTTGTGAAAGACACTGAACCAGTATGATGAGGCTGTTATGGACTGAACTGTGTCCCCCAAAAATGTGTATTAATTTGGCTAGGCCGTAATTCCCAGTATTGTGTGACTGTCCACCATTTTGTCATCTGATGTGATTTTCCTGTGTGTTGTAAATTCTACCTCTATGATGTTAATGAAATGGGATTAGCGGCAGTTATGTCAATGAGGCAGGACTCAATCTACAAGATTAGATTGTGTTTAAACCAATCTCTTTTGAGATACAAAAGACAGAAGCGAGCAGAGAGACATGGGGACCTCATACCACCAGGAAACAAGAGCCAGGAGAATAGCGCGTCCTTCGGACCTGGGGTCCCTGCACTGAGAAGTTCCTCGACCGGGGAAGACTAATGACAAGGACCTTCCCCCAGAGCCGACAGAGAGAGAAAGCCTTCCCCTGAAGCTGGCACTGTGAATTTGGACTTCTAGCCTCCTAAACTGTGAGAGAATAAACTTGTTTGTTGAAGCCATCCATTTGTGGTATTTCTGTTATAGCAGCACTAGATAACTAAGACAGAGGCTTACTTTCCTTATATGTAAAATGAGGATAAAAAACATTATCTTCATTGCCAGGTGACTGTATTTGGGATAATTAAAGGTAATGTCCATCATATGCCTGGTATACTGCTTGACACCAAATAAATCCTCCATTATGGTCACCATGAAAATCAGACCTGCGTGGGTTCTAATCATGGTTCTAACAGGAACAAGCTGTACGGCCTTCAATAATTCAGTTAATCTCTCAACCTCAAATTTCTTATCTGTAAAATAAAGAGGCTGGATAAAAAATCACTGATCTTCAATGTTCTATGTATAGGGAAGAGAGGAGGAGTCACAGACCCTTTTAAGATTCTGATAAGATGCAAATGAGCACAAACACACAGCATTTTACATAGAAGTTTCAAGAAGTTTAGACTTCCCAAAGCTCATCCAGGGCTGCATTTCCTAGGACAGTTTCTCTAAACAGTGTGTCCCTCAAACATCAGCATCAGCTGGGCACTTGTGAAAAATTCTGATTTCTAGGCCCCACCAAAGCCAAGATCAAAATCTCCAAGCGTAACATCTGGTAGAGATTTGTATTTTTCACATGCTCTCCAAGGTGATTCTTAGCCATAGCAAAGACTGAGAACTAGTCCTTTCCCTTGAGTGACAATGGATGCCAGGTCAAGGATGTCTCTGGCTAGTGAAATAATCACCCTTTTACAAAATCTTTGTTTTCTACTCTTAGGATCTACTGTAGAAAATTTACCTTACCAATTGTCAGTAAAATCTGCATTGGGAACCACTGATATAAATTACTCTTTAGGTAATCCGTAAGTGAAAATTTCAGAATTTTCCAGACTTACAGAGAATAGACTGTTAGACACACTTTTTATTTTAGAAGTATTTTCTTCATGTTTGGGGACAAAAGTAATTCAAACTCATCTTAAAGGCATTACTGAAAAGGAACAAAATGATATGGAGTCTTCTAATTGATCTGTAAAATATGGTTAGATTCATAAGCAGAAGCCAAATGTTGTGACAAGGCACACCAATTATGTATTCCACACTCGACATTTAGTACCCTGCTGATGCTGACATAGCACTTTATCAGACATCCCAACACTACTGGTCTGACAGAGACTGGAGAAATCCCATGAGTACAGTCCCCAGACACCCTTTTAACTCAGTACTGAAGTCACTCCTGAGATTCACCCTTCAGCCAAAGATTAGACAGACTCATAAAACAAACAATAACACACTAGCTCAACCATGTATACGAGACTAGATGGGCACACCAGCCCAGGGGCAAGGATGAGAAGGCAGGAGGGGACAGAAAAGCTGGACAAATGGAAATGGGGTACCCACGGTCAAGAAGGGGAGAGTATTGATACATCGCAGGGTTGGCAACCAATGTCACAAAACAATATGTGTATTAACTGGTTAGGTGAGAAACTAATTTGCTCTGTAAACCTTTATCTAAAGCACCAAAAAAACAAAAAACAAAAATTCCAATACTGCTTCTCCTTACTCATTTTTATCCTCTGAAATCTAATGTTTTAGGCATTTTAGAAATGGGCCCTATATGATTTGGCAAAAGTTAATAAATGGCCAAACAAAAAACAAAAACAGATACACTGAGTTTGAAATGGGCTTTGGCTAGCTCTGCCCCTGTAGGTACTAATGCCTTTCTTTTACCCATCAAAGACATTATGGAATGAGGTGGGAACAAGAAAGCTGAGCCCTAAGTAGTCAAAAATGCTAGGCTCTAAAGAGGTGGGCGAAGTGTGCCAAATGAAAGGCCTACAGCAACGTTAGCTATAGCGATGCACACCACTGCTAGCTGAGTAATGTCTACAGGACAGTTTCTGCCATCTGGATTGTTCTTAACATGGTGGTTCACAGGCTGGCAGTCCCACGCAGGTGCGTGTATATGTGGCCACTGAAGGTAGCCATAGAAACTTATGCTGCACTCTCCCACGTGTTCAGCTCAATCTGTTTTCAGTTAATTGGGGAAACTGAGGCACTCATATTTTTCAAGCAGTCATTTAATCATGTATATCTTTTTTGTACATTTAAATAATTTTAAAGTGCAGCTAGTACTTTTTGGCAATGTCATAACTTGCCTGTTTGCTCATAAATTAGAAAAACCCAAACTAGTTGCTGTTGAGTCAATTCCAATTAATGGTGACCCCGTGTGTGTCAAAGTAGAACTGGGCTCCATAGGGTTTTCAAGACTGTGACCTTTTGGAAGCAGATCACCAGGCCTTTCTTCCAAGGTGCCTCTGGGTGGATTTGAACTGCCAACCTTTGGGTGAGCAGTCGAGCACATAACCGTTTGCACCACCCAGGGAGTCCTTGTTTGCTCATAAACAGATTTAAAAATCTGGAATGTAAGTTAAAAGGAGGATGAGATCACAACATAAACATATTTCTTCCTCACAATTCCAAACAATAAACAAGGAAAGCTGGTTAACAACAGTCATTTTTATGTCTTAGAAGGATAACATTGCTGCACTAAGATTAAAGAAGGAGGGGAGAGTGCAAATTTCCTAACAGTCGCTTGTTCTGAGTCTTTTACTCTCAGAGTTCTAGTCTACAATTTCAGTGAACTGTACCTGTGAACAGGCACAGTCCTGGCAAGACGGAACTTCTCTCTAGGAGCAGATGCTCATAGAAAAAGTTTTCCCTGTGGGATGGAGGGGAGGGGAACTGATGGCAGCAGTGGCCCTTACTTCCCAGCAGTTAGTTGGAACAATGGGGGGTACTCTGAGATTTAATGGAGATAAAAATAATACAGTTACGTGGCATTTTACGGTTTTCAGAGTGATTCCATTAATGTTGTTTCATACATATACATTTAAGAGAACAACACAATACCTGTTCTCACACACTAAAAAAACAAAAAAACCCAAACCCATTGCCGTCAAGTTGATTCCGACTCATAGCGACCCTATAGAACAGAGTAGAACTCCCCCATACGGCTTTGAAGCAGCAGCTGGTGGATTCGAACTGCCGACCCTTTGGTTAGCAGCTGAGCTTTTAACCACTGCGCCACCAGGGCTCCTCTCATATACTACGATCCCCTTATTTTTCTCCTTTTGCTGAAGTCTACTGAGAACTTCATATCTAACTATCACTGGTCCTTGAGTGGTATTTGAGAACCACTCTTCTCCTTCCCTCTCAAGTGAAGAACAGGGAACAGTGGAAACGGGGGAAGATCCAATAACTAATCATCTCAGGAACTACCAGAAAAATACAGCACAGTCTGAACAAGGGTCATTCGGGGGCAGAGTGGAAAGCTACGCAGTGCAGAATCAAAGCATGAGGGTCTTCCGCTGAGAGCCCACGGCAACAGTTCTAAATGAAAGGGGCGTGGCAGCTTGGAGTCCACGCAAGAGGGGATTAGAAAGCAGGGACACAGATGCCACACCCAGGAATTCTGGGCAGGGAATTAGAAAAAAGGAATTAGGGCCCAAGGCTAGGTATACAGAGAGAGAAAACGGGCCGTGGTCAGTTCACCAGACCTGAAGAGAGATGAGGAGCGACCGAGTGAGTGGCTGCCTAGAACGAGACCCTCACCGGTAAAAGCAACTTCCTCTGCTTTTTCACAATTTTCCTTGTCTGCCTTTTCTTTCTATCCCTGTTCTCTCTGGAACTCGAGATTTCTCTCTCCACCTTAACTGATGGTAATACAGAAGTGAACAATAATCAGTATTTACTGTTTAAAATTTTGTTTACCCTTCTGAGATTTTAAAAAGAAACCAAGGTGAACCCTTTATATTTTAATCCCATAAAGATTCCTGGCATCTGATATAACGAAGCAAAATAATATTAGTAGAGACGTCCTGCTACAAGAGAAGCCTAGATGAGTATCTTCGTCTTGCCAAATGTCTTAATATTCAAGGTTGCTAGTTCTCTAACACTCTCTTCGGATAAGACAGCTCAGGATCCTGACTAAAATGAACACCAGGATGAGAAAAGCGAAAGAGTAAAAACATCCCACGTGACTAGAGATGTTGCCAATGGTCGTAAAGAACTACATCCTTTCCTGTTTTCCTGGGCTAAGCACAAATTTCAGCATTAGCTCTGAAAAGCTGGCAAATGCCGTGAGAACGAGGAGACCTAGCCAAGGGAAGCAGGGGTGTGAGCACACGCATCCGGAGCAGGCTCTTCAGTGCTGGGGAGAGTTTGTCCAGGATGCCATTCGTCCATCCTCTCGTGCAGTTCTCTCATGGCCAAAGCCACATGTTTGTAAGGCAGCTGGCTGAGAAGTGGCTATGAGTCAGGCTTTAATTTTTTTTAATCTGAGAAACACCAACTGGTCCACAAAGAGACTAAACACAGGGCTTTGACCACATTCCTGTCATATTCCCGAGTGCTGAGCTTCAGCAGTCCTCACGCTGGAGTGCTGTGGCTAAACTGGTAGGTTAACAAGCAGCATTCATCAATCAACTACATGAATGTGGCACTAACGTAGAGGCTGCATAAAATCTAATATTCTCAAAGTTTACAATAAACAGCAAAATTAAAATGACAAGTTAAGGAATTCTATCCAAATGCGTTTCATTCAACTGAGCTCCTCACATATTTTTCCTTTTTCTTTATTGTTAAATTTGCATTAAGATACTGAAGTCTTATCAGAGAAGGGGGCAAAAGGAGTGACAGAACAATTTACAAAACTGTTTGCAGGGCGTTAAGTCTATTCCAATGAATATTATGGGGTACCTGTGAGGCAGACAAAAGTTACAAGGGTTAGGCCAGACTCCCTCAACATACAGAGCTCTGTCCTTTTCTCTTTTACGAGGGGAAGAGACAGGAGAAAATATTCTTACAAAAGATCACATAAATCTAAATACATGATTCCTGGAAAGTCAAATGTGTTCTTAACTCAGAATTTCCAGTGAGAACCAAATAGACAGATTCTGTTCCCCTGTTTCTGTTATCTTCTAACAGATGTCTCCACTGCCACGGTGTATTTCCTCTTCAAACCACCTTTTTTATCCTGCTTAGGTCTTACTGAACATTTCTATACAAGGCATGTCAAAGACAATGCTGCTGAGGTGGGCTTTATAAATAAGGTTAGTGTGAGAGACCAATTTGATCAGAATCCTGTATTAAATCTTCCTACCTCTTCTTCTCCCTCTTCCTGGTACTGTTCATCAACATTATCTTCCTGCTGGTCAGGATTTCCTGCCATCTGTTGAAACAAAAGGAGAGACTCATGTTACTGTATATTGGAGATGGGTTTCACAGTGTTCTAAGACAAAGAGCAAGCATGCCACCATGACAGTGCACTATGAATGCATCAGTGGCCCGGAAATGATGAACAATCATTTACAACACAAAGCCCAGGACATCCATTGCCATCTCTCTCGCAGGGCAGGCGTATCATTTCCTATAATGGCCTAGAAACCAACCAAAGTGGCAAACTTTCTGTCAACGTAGGTTATGACTAGCCTTTTACAAAAACCAGAAGCTTATTAAAATACCCAGGTTAAAAATCACCCTCCATAGAGGCATCTGCTTACCACCAAATGCTCCTCCATCTCTGCATTCTCTGGCTTTTGATTACTTTGTTTTTGCTCCTCATTTTCATCTGGCACGTTTTCTTCTCTCACTTGCTCCGCCTCCTCAAATTCATCTTCACCTTGATTATTAGGGTCGTCTGCTGGGTTTATATCCTCTACAGCTGCTCTCTGTAAAATTTTGATAAAAAGTGACCCCCAACTTCAAAACCTAGGATCAAGTTTAATTTCATTTGAAAGGCCACACTGTCCTTCCCTGGATCGTTCAGCTCTATCCTCGCCAAGACTCACAAGTATCCAATCCTCCCATTGTCAAAAGATAGAAATCCTGGTTTTTCAGAGGTTTATGAATCAGAATGAAGTACAAACAGCACTTATCTTCTGCAAGTGATTCCAAAATCATTCTCAAACCTTACCATCACAAGTAATGTAAGCACAACTGAATAGACAATAAGAAAAACAGCTGACAAAAACCACAAGACCAGGTGGGAGGAAAAACAAAACAAATTAAAATGGGATAATCTAGCTGGGAAAATGATAACACCTCTCACCGGTATGCTGATTTTTATACAAACTTTCCTTTCCAAGCAATTTTTAATGTGTAAGTGGGTGAAAAATGGAGGCCTAGGGTGATGCAAACAGTTAACACGCCTGGCTGCTAAACAAAAAAAGCCTGGTGGTTCAATTCCACCCAGAGGTGCCTCAGAAGAAAGGCCTGGTGATCCACTTCCAAAAAATCAGCCACTGAAAATCCTGTGGAGCACAATTCTACTCTGACATGGGGTTGCCATGAGTCAGAGTCACCTTGACGGCAACTGGTTTTGTTTTTGATTTTTTTTTTTGGGGGGGGGTGGGGGGAATGAAAAGTAGTTGAAAGGAAAGAAGGCCCACACCAGAAAGGATACAAGAAGAGGGCTTAAAAAGGAGACAAGATGAGAAGAAGGCTAACTCAAAAGTAAATGATCGATTTCTCGTGTAGATCAAAGCTTTTTATAACAAACACTACCATGAATCTGAAAGGCGCTGCACTGGTAAGGGACAGGAGGGAAAAGAACTGAGCTAATCCAATCTTTGCAAATGTATTTCTTTAAAAAATACCCCCTCCGACTCACCCTGCATCCCAAGTAGTTCTAGCATATTGTGTTCAAAAAATGCCCTTCGCATTTTCAACTTTAGAATTTTCTCAGTTTTCCACTTTAGCTCCCAAAGCACCTTTTGAGATAACACACTTCCCTCATAAAGATTTAGAATTTTCGAGACTGAGATGGGTAGAAATGTTGATGCTTGTGTGAGCTCCCTAATCTCTCCAGTGTCACGAATAGGACACTTACTGAAGCGTCACGTTTCCGGGAGATGGAGCAGCCACAGAGAAGAATTTAGTTTCTATGGGTGTTCTCTGGACAACAAAGTTCTTCTTCAATTCACTTAAGAGCCTTGAACATGTTCAAGAGCTGACTGTAATCTCAGCTGATCTATTATCTGCACATCCCTGGCCCTGTACTTCATTCAAGTGCAAATGGCACTTCCCTGGGAATGTGGAGAGTGACAAATCATCAGCTTCACACGAAGCTCTAATTTCTCTACAATCTCTTATCGTATGGATTTCTTTTTGTGTTTTACCAATAACTTGCTTGGAAATATAAGAAATATTAATATGTTCTCTTCAGAAAAAAAACTATCAAACATGTTTTGCAAAAGGCTTAAATTTTCACAGAAGTTCATGAAAATATATACCCTAACTCCAACCCCAACCAATAAATAAAGAGTAACAGGCACAGTTAGTAAATTCAAATAAAATAGTTAAGAAGAAATGAAGAGAAGGACAGATGGGGCTGACAATTTCTAATTAAAAGAAGGCATGGTCGAAAAAGGCCAGTGTTTCCTGGTGTGTCCCCAGAACAAGTCAGCAGCAGACAGGAGAGTAAAGGATTCAGCAGGTAAGTAATACAGCACTATACAGCTGCACACAGCACTTCCCAACCTTTAGCGGCTGGAGTGCTCTTCCTCCCCCACCACCTTTCATCCCTTCTCACGCACCACACTCACAGACTTTTGCACACTCTCTTGCTTTCTTGCTCTCTCATTGATTCTTTCTTGCTCTCTCACTTTTGTTCATTCCTGAAAATATTCCAGAGCTAGCATTCTGTGGAGCAGGCAGGTATGTTGTTACATCTCAGTGCACATTAATTGGGGAAAACTGTTGGCATGAAGGTTGGTTAAGTAGCCATCAGAAGACTTTCTCAACGACTATCAAGGAAGGCTATGGGCCCATCAGTTAAGCGCTCCACTGCTAACTGAAAGGCTGGTGGTTCAAACCTACCCAGTGACTCCAGGCAAGAAATACCTGGTGATCTGTTCCATAAAGATTACAGCCTAGAAAACCCTCTGGGACAGTTCCACTCTGTCACATGGGATCCATATGAGTTGGAATCAACTCCATGGCACTCAACAACAACAACATAGGTCCACTGAATCCATATAAACAGGAGTTATAATAATAGCATAGACTGAAATTTAAATACATAGTGGTTGATTTATCAGCAAAAATGACAGGAGAGCAAAAGTGAGTTGTAAAAACCATCCACGTATAAGTTCAAGAACACACAGTCTCTCAATATTTGCTTGCCTTATTTGCAGACAGGGCCAAGGCCCTGGACTGCCCAGCTGAACAGGTTATTTTTTGGTAAACACAAAGAACATTCCTGGCTATTAGGTCTCTACCTATTTACATTCTAGATTTTCTGTAACATCATGGTATCTTAGCAACTCTTCATTTCTCAAACCACACTTCCTTATTCATGTATTTATTAAAATGCCACCGTACTGCTAGGAGATTACAGAAAGTCACACACACATATAAAGTCCCAGAAGACTGCGGAACACACTGGAGAAAGGTGCATTTCCTTTCTCTCGTCCCCTCTCCAACTCCCACACTTGCTTTTTCTCCATCATTCAGAGTTACTAAGTATTTCAATGCCTCTCAGTTTTGCTTTTGGCAGTTTTATTTTTCCCAATCTAAAAGCCCTCTGAGGGACAATTTTTTGATGTTTTCCTAGAGTAATCTTTAACCCATTCCTATCACACATACACACATCATGGTTTATAGTCAACAACATTACTTGTGTCGTATACTTATGCAAGCCGCCTTCTTTCTGTACTGATGAAACCACAGACATATCTGGAGCTAGAGGTATGGTGTGAGCAATCTTGCACGTTTCCTTTCCGCCTCATAAGTTTCCAAGTGTTATGATCAGAAGATAGTAGACTTACATCTGCCTCAGATTCTGGGTTATCTTCTCGAGGCCTTTGTTCTCGAGGTTCATGTCCATTATCTGTGTCTTCTTCTGCTTCACCTTGGTGCTGGTTGTCTCTTTCATAGGCTAGAAAAGCAAAGAAACTAAAATCAGCCCAATATGAGTCGAGCAGGAATCTTCCTTCCAACTCAAAAAAACCCCACCAGTGCCCCTTCCTAGAGACCACGTCACCCAGTCTCTCCCCTATCCAGACTAACTCAACATAGGGCATTATGTCTCAGCTTTGCTGAATAAAACTATATCCTTTTTCCAGACTTTGAGTCTAAAGAGATAGTGTGGGTGAGTGACACCATTCTAACCGTCTCAAATAAAGTCAATAACAGAGATGGCATTTTTTTTTTTTTTTGCCCCTATTGTGCAAAAAGCAAGAACAATAAGAACTTTTTTTTGATAAAAGAAAGCCCAGTCAGTTGGACATTGCTAAAATTACCAACTAATGTTTGGTAAAATCAGAGGAAATAACAAGGTATCAAAAGAAGAAACTGATCATGTTTCAGGAAACGAAAGAACAACCCCATCTGTACAGCTCAAAAACAAATACGATCCATCTGTGTTCTCTGATGTGGAAATGATGGTGACAGCCACAAGCGACAGATACCACACATTTACACTCACGCAGGCATTTACTTCTTTTTGGGAAAAAAATGTTTAGATAAAGAGAATTTTAAGAGTATATAGAGAAGAACAAATAACTTTTTAAAATAAGTGAGACGTAAGGGGAAAGGTTAAATATGTAGACAGTAGCTACCCTACGGAAAATAAACACGTGGGTAACTCGCTATCAAGTTTCAAGAACACAGAGGGATTTATTAAATAAGGAAGGGAACAAACCATTCTCTAGTCTTACTGATAATGAACAAAAGAGCTTAAGGTGCCACACGGGGAATATAAGGAAAACAATTTCTTGACTCTAAGGGCTATAAAATATCAGAACAAGCTATTGAGCGAGTTTATGTAATCATCTTCCTCTAGACTCTTTAGAAGAGAACGCATATGTGTTAGTGTTGCCAGAGAGACAGTTAATTTCTAGTTTTAAGACCACAGTAAGCAACAGCTGATAAATTACATACTACCAGGAGATGTTCACAATAAATCAAAGTTACTATTGACTTAAGTTGAAACATTTTAACACAATGATCTAAATGCTTCCAAGGTAAGGATAAAATGTAGAAGTTTCCTAAACCATAAAAGTCCAACGATAATTTGCCAGAAATAATTACTTAGTATACACAAAACTTAAACTATGGGGAAAACTTTAGGAAACAGATTATCTTAGATAATTTTGGCTACCAGTGAGTACTGTTTGGGGAATTAAGAAAAACATGCAACAACTAAAGACATATGATTCACAAATCTGCCTTGCACTTACCCAAGTATGCATATAGCTCGTTGACACTGTATAGTATTACTGCCATGGATTGAATTGTGTCCCCCAAAAATATCCGTCAACTTGGCTAAGTCATGATTCCCAGTATTGTGTGATTGTCCACCATTCTGTCATCTGATGTGATTTTTCTACGTGTTGTAAATCCTATCTATGATGCTAATGAGATGGGACTGGCGGCAGTTATACTGACTCAATCTACAAGATTAATCTACAATTTAAGCCAATCTCTTTTGAGATATAAAAGGAAGAAGTGAGCAGAGAGACAAAGAGACCTCATATCACCAAGAAAGCAATGCCAGGCGCAGAGCGCATCCTTTGGACCTGAGGTTCCTTCAGAGGGAAGCTCCTAGACCAAGGGAAGATTGATTATAAGGACCTTCTCCCAGAGCTGACAGAGACAGAAAGCCTTCCTCTGGAGCTGGTGCCCTGAATTTGGACTTCTAGCCTACTAGACTGTGAGAGAATAAATTTCTCTTTGTTAAAGCCGTCCACTTGTGGTATTTCTGTTATAGCAACACTAGATGACTAAGACAATTACCAAGTAAATTTACTAAACACTCATCATCTAAGAACTCTCACCACCTCCTTCCTCTTCTTGGATGCCCTGGTCCTCTGCTCCCTGAACAATATCATTATCCATAGCATCATAGTGAGCTTGTTGCCTGTAAGGGACACAAACATTAGAAATTCAGTGACACAAATTAAGTGGCACAGTTCTGCATAGGTCATTTATTTTTAAAGTAGTGATAAGCAAGATATTTTTAACATTTTTTAAAAAGCCATGAAAAAAAAATTTTTTTAAATGTACACCAAACCAAAAACCCTCTGCCGTCAAGTGGATTCTGACTTATAGCGACCCTACAGGACAGAGTAGAACTGTCCCACAGGGTTTCCAAGGAGTGGCTGCTGGATTCAAACTGCTGACCTTTTGGTTAGCAGCATAGCTCTTAACCACTGTGCCACTAGGCATCCATATTATACATATATGTAACGTATAATACATATTACCACTACCCATTGCTGTGGAGTCAATTCCAACTGATAGCGACTCTACAGGACAGAGGAGAACTGCCCCCATAGAGTTTCTAAGGAGCGCCTGGTGGATTCGAACTTCTGACCTTCCAGTTAGCAGCTGAGCACTTAAGCACTGAGCCACCAAGGCTCCATACACAATTGGGTACAATAAAGATTCCATATACACTTTCAAAGGTTACCTTAAAAAGATTACACATCTTCCAAACAACAAAATAAAGTTAGCACAAAGCCTGTCAGGTTATATTCTGAAACCTAAACTATAATTTTTAAGCAGAAAAAATATTTTTAAAATTAATATTTGGCATTTAATTCTCAAGAAGTACTACCTTGCCTACATGAGCAATATGAGCCCCTCAAGTTCAAGGATGACAAACACACAAAGCTGTTTTGACTCTGCTTATGAAAACGAGATGAGGGCCATCTAAGCCCATCAGGAGGGGGAAGCTACCGTAACCGCTCCTGGCGCTGCTGCTGGCCCTCCTCACGCTTGGCCTGCCTCTGCCGGGACAGCTCTCTCTCCCGAAGCTGCTGCTGCTGCTGCTGATTCTGCTGCTGCTGATTCTGCTGCTGCTGCTGCTGCTGGCGCTGCCATAACAGGTGTCCCTGCAGCCTCTGCTGGTGCAAAGCTTCCTGCCGTTCTCTCAGCCGCTGGGCCTCCTCCGCCTGCCTGGCTGCCAGTCTCTGCTGTTCTAACTGCTCCTCAAATGGTGATTGCAATTTGGTAACTGGTTTGGCGGAAGGATACACCTGGGGAAAAAGTGCGTTGGTTCTGAGCAAGAGTAGTCAGCTCCTCTAGGTTATCCATAAATTCATTTGCTTCTCGTGAAAAACTCGGAAGGCATAAAGTCCAAGGTCAACCAGCACCAGTACTCCTATTTCCGAACTTTCTCTACATTGCCCCTTGCTTCTTCTTGCAACTGAGCTCGTCGATTTGCTGGCGTGTGGCAGATTTTCAATGTGCTGCCTCTCAAATGAAACAGGGAGCACAACAGAAGGAATGTTTCAAACCTTATTTAAATTTATGTTCAAAAGGCTCTGATAGAAGTGGACACTTGATAACCTCACACTAATTGGGGAAATCTGTGAGCTGAAGCTCTAAGGCTTTTCCATGGAAAGTTAAAGACCTACGAATGATAATCAACTCCAGTAATGTATACATATCAACCTCTGACTAAGTACAACCAAAAAAAAAAGTGTCAAATTCCAGACTGGGGTGGGAAAGTGGGGAGTCAATTTTCTTCAAAGAAATGAAGAATGAGTAAGAAGATAGAGCGCATCTTCTGATTACAGGATAATCCGGTACAGGAATTCTTAATGAAACTTTGCTTTCCAGCTGAGCTACCCACCTCCCCCAAACACAGCACAGACAATTCCCAAAAAAGGAAAGAGAGTAGACAGTTGAGGGGAATTAAACCTAGTGGGGAATTACATTTGAAGAAGGCTGTGAGGGACACCAGCCTGGGAGAGGCTTCTCCATGCTAAGTTTGCAACTATGTAAAAATACAACTACAGAGGCCTTCATGCCTGCCCAGCCTAAAGTTCTAAGCAGCTTGAAGTTTCAGAAAGTTTGAGGCCAAACAGAACTTCAAAGTTATAAGTAAAAGGTGATCAGTATCTGTGTACAAGCCAGGTAACCTACTGTTGGGTAACAGTTTCGAGATAATGAAAGAAAGGTACCTAACTGCATTCAGTGTCGGTTAATACTTTAAGCTCTTTTAAAGTATCATTTATAATAATGACAGCTGTTTTTGTAAGAAATGGCAAGTCTAACTTACATGAGAGGGGGCTGTTCAGTAAACAGAGGGCCTGTGCAGACTGGTTAAACATACTCACCTGGTGGAGTATCCCTAAAATAAGATCAGCTTTTTGATAATCGAATAAGAACCTTGAAGGTGAACGTGCAAAAGCCAATATATAATTTGACAGTAAATGGATCAGGGAGAAAAGGACTTTTGATCACAGAAAATGAGACTTTTCTCGGCCTTGAGATGCCCATGAGGCTTGAGCACATACTGGGAAGGTGCCCAACCAGGTGCTCACCTATTCTCCTACCCACTTAGAGGCCTGTGAGGATGACTCTCCCTTACTATGCACTACTGACCAAGAGAAGAAGCTATACATACACTAACACCTCTTTCTCTTTTCCTCCATCAACTTATGTAAGTGCTGCGTTCTAATTTTTCCATAGTTATGTTAATAACATTATAATAGAAAACTTAAGTATGCGTACCTGACATTTAATGAAATAACTCAAATTTTTATTTTAGAGATTGTCATAGATGGGTTTTTTTTCCCTTTAATATTTGAAAATTAAGCCACATCCCCTATCCCAACCAGCAAAGCACAAGTCCAGCAGATTTGAAGTGGAGGACCTTGTACCTCAGCATGAGCATGCCCTTCTAGACGGTTGGCTTCTTCTTTTTGTTCCTGCTGTTCCTTCCACTCCTGATCCTGCTCCTCCGGCGATGGATCGTGTTCCTCCTCCAGATGTTCCGCCTGCCCGACCTGCTCCATTTCCTCTTCTTCAAGCGCCTTTCTATGCTCCTCCTCCACTTGACGCTCCTCAGGTTCTCTGGGTTCTGCTTCTTGTTGGTTCAGCTCTGCTGGAGCCTGAATTTCTGGCCCCTTCTGTGTAGGAGGATAAGGCTGCGTGTCTTCTGTTCTTCCAGGAACTGCTTCATGCTTCTGCCCCTCATCAATATTTCGAGACACCTAGGCCAAGAACATTACTGGAAATGACACTCCTCTATTCAAAAGTAGTGACATAATTTCTTTGTCACAGTGTCTATGGGTCTACAAGACAAGCAAACTACTGAAGTCTAGAAATGCATAGCCCTGACTTAAAAATACAGCTGCAATGGAGTCATTTAACTCTTCTCATTGCATAACCTCACCTACAAAACAGAGATAATATAAACAAAATTTCATCTCAAAAGAATACAGTTAAGTAACATGCAATGTAAAAGCTGTAAATGATTATGTCTCAGAAGTAACCCTTCCCGCAAAAGTAATCTAACTCCTGTTTTCCGTTAGAATGAAAAGGGGAAAAACCCTCAAACTTTAAGAGATCAAATAATTATGTAATTTTCCTCACTATAAATTTTGTTTTCAATAATTACTGAAAAGAATAAGAGGGCAAGTTGGCATTATTTTTTATTAGCTCGGCTTGCTAATAAAAAAGAGTATCATCATACATAAACATCCATGTTACTTAAAAATAATGTCCATTAGGCAAGCTACAATAAAACATTTCTTCACAAATCAGAGGGAGCCTTTTATAAATATTTTGTATTGTTAATACAGAAATCTCTGAACACAAAAAAGAAAGGTCTTTTTTAAGACCTAAAATTGGTTGACTGAAATCAGTTTTCCCTACAAGTTTCAAAGATCTCTATATGATCTTCATTACTTAAAAAGAGGGGGAGAAAAAGAGACGATATAGCATCAGTAGGAAAATATGTCACCCCTTTCCCTCTTAACCTTCTTTATCAGAAAAATAGCTTCTTTCATCAGATTGCTCTCCTATAACTGAAATAAATGTGAAGCTTCTAGTATTAAATTAGCAGAAATATAGTTGTCAAACTGGAGGAACTGGATTGTGTAAATAATAAACTGAAAAAAAAATCCTTTCTTAGACATCTGAGGACAACTTTTGGAGCTACACACTATAGCAACATCCTTGCCATACCTGGCAAGTATGACATAACACTGTCCTGGCTTTAGACGAAATCTTAGTTCTCTAAAGGGCTCTGAGTGCTTTCAAACAGCTGCCATTTATCTTCACAACATCCTTGTGAGGAAGGTTACAGCAGATAACTACCATCTCCACCTCCCAGATGGAAAAATGGAAGCTCTGAGTCATTAAAAGATTAATCCAGTAACTGGGAGTCAAATCAGGGCGGAGAATAGAACCAATTCACAGGCTAGGAATCCGGTCATGTTTTCTTAAGTTAGTAGTAACAGAAGACCCAGAAAAAGAACAAGAGTCCATGAAACACTGACCGTGTCTGTGAAGGCATGCTCCCACAGACTGAGGACACTCATAGATGAAGTCCCCTGAACATAAACTTAATTATTTCCATAAGATGGCAACTCAAGGGCAGGTCTTCTCAAATATTTATTGTTAAAACCAACTCTGTCAAGGGGAAAGATAATCATACTTCCCACTTTTCTTATACAAGTGACTGCAAAAATAACTTTGTAAGAGTTAATAAAGGTGACACTATTTTAAATGTCCCACTTATGAGATATACTTAAGCAAGACTTGATTTACACGAAGAACAAGAATACAAAAAAGTGGATTATGAGACTAGCACTCATACCTACTGTAGTTTTATAAAGGCCTTTTTATATAAACTTTGATGTGTTCTATATGGACTTAGCACTGCACCAAGTTGAAATATATTATCTACTTTAATACTTGAGTGGGCTGACTGTACATAACATACTCATGATCATTTAACCTTCTTACCCTACCAAAAAGCCCAAATCAAAACAAACAAATAAAAAACCTTAAAAATCCAGGCACTGCAGCTCTTAAGACAAATAAACCTAATGAATAAAGACACAAAACCAGTAGTAGAGTCTTTCTCAGAAAATACTCTATCAGTGGTTCTCAAAGTGTGCTCCCTGACCAGCTGAGCCACATACAAATGCAAATTCTCAGGCCTCACTCCAAACCACTTCAATTGGAAACTCTCCGGCTAGTCCAGCAATCTGTGTTTTAACAATCCTTGCTGGGGCACTAATACCTGCCATAATTTGAGAACCACTGCTCTGCAGGAAGGGTGGGCAAGACTGGGAGCAGTTCACCTGATGTCAGCTTGACAGAGACAGGGACCTAGCCAGAGATTACAGTTCACGCCTCTTACCTCCTGTTGCTGTTGCTCTTCGGTCAGTTTCTCTTTTGTGCTATAACCTTGCGGAGAATGTGCTGCTGCTGGGGGAACAGTTTGCTCCTGTGCTCGTTCAGGTTTTCGAAAGCTTGGAATCCTATTCAGAGTGTCTTTCAGTTGTTTATATTCTGCAACTTGAGTCTGCATATAAATTGCATATTTGGATGCAAATTGCACAATTTGAAGAGAAAAAAGATGTCATTCATAGATAAGTATTTGGGCTTACTGGAACACTAAACAAAAATATTGTACCTAAATACCAGTTAAGAGGAATATGCAGATTGTTCCCATGCATTAGCTCTTCTTACTCTGACATGCTTAACCATTTTTGAGCACATGCAAATTGGAATTAAAGTTAAAGGAAACAGAGAAAAATATGTAAAACAGATGTTAGTTTCCCATGCTGCATTAAAAAAAGTCAAAATTTTATAAATGACTTTCTAATATAGACATCATTATTAAAAGACAACTATGCAACCAATGTTTCATAGCATTAAAAAACCTGTTAAAAACTCACACAATGATACAAGCGCATATATCTTTTCCTAATATGAGAATGTTTTTTCAGTGGGAAAGAATCATAGGTTTAAAATTACATATATATATCTCCATCACTCAGGCCATCCCCCTCCTCCAACTTGTGCTCCCTTGTGCTTACTGCCCAGAACTGTACTGCACTTTGCAGTTTTGGAAAGCAGTGGCATAGGAGTGAAATGAAGCTGGATTTTTAGTCCTCAGTCCTGTGTGTCCTTTCTTCTAAACCGACAAAGCCATTAACATAGATATAGGACTGAAATAAGCTCATATAAGTGTGTGTGTGTGTTTATGTGTGTGTGTAATGTTTTTTAATAAAAGGAAATATACTTAGTTCAAGGAGCCCTGGTGGCACAGTGGTTAAAGCGCTTGGCTGCTAACCAAAAGGTTGGCGGTTCAAACCCACCAGCAACTCTGGGAAAAAGATGTGGCAGTCTGCTTCCACAAAGATTATAGCCTTGGAAACTCTATGGAGCAGTTCTACTCTGTCCTATAGGGTCCCTGAGCTGGAACTGACTGGACAGCAACGGGTTTGGTATACTGTTTTCCTAGAAAAGAAATGCTGTCTGTGTAAACCCACACTTAGAGACGCACATACTTAAGAACACAGTAATCTTTTTCTAAACAAGCGAAGCTTCCCAGACAGGGTTGCCTCCCACGGTGTGCACAGCAAAGAGGGTGAGTGGAGGCTGAAATCTAACCAGGGCTCCAGCTGCCAAAGCCATGCACCTGGGCTCAGCACTCTTCCATCCCTAAGGAAGAGGCACCATTTTGCCTTTTTTTAATTCAGGAGAAAGTGAAGAAGTCTGCTATAAAGATGCCCAGAAGTGATGCCTTGTTATGATTCATACGAAGGTGCGCCATGTGGCCAGCAGTTGTCCTCGTTCCAAAAGTCTATCAAAACATTTGCAAATCAACTTTGGAAGTCAAAGAACAAAAAAAAAAAAAAAGACATCCACATAGAGATGCTGTTAATATTTTAAGATGCATATGGAAGATACATAAACCTTTCTTCTCTCTCCCCGCAGAGAGCCTTTGAAGGCAGGAATGGTGTGGTTCTCAAATATTAGTGCGCATTAAGAATCATGTAAAGATCATGACAAATTCAGGTTCCTGGCCCCTCACTCTAGAAATTATGATTCAATAGGTCTGGGGAAAGACCCAGGTAACTATGAGGCAGGTAAGTCTCAAAAACACTAGCTTAAGAGTTAAGAGTAACTTTGATGTCAGGCTGACCTGAGACTCAAGCTCAGCTCTGGTTGGGCTAGTTACTTCACTTCCTTTAGCCTCGGTTTATTTAGTTATAAAAGGGTGCCATGTTATATAACTCATGGGGTTGTGAGAATTAAGTAAGATTCTGTGCATAAAGTTCTTATGGTGACCCCTGACAAACTGTAAACTCTCATATTCTATTCATGTCCCTTCCCTCCCCATCAACTATATTTAAAAATCAGCTTCTCAGAAAAGATTCTCATAAGATGCTTTACATGAGAAGTATAGATGCCGAAATAACATTTGTTTTCTAAGGAGATCTGGGGAAAGTGTTTTAGTATGGGGACTGAGAGTAGGGCTCTAATTAACTATTGGCACATAGTTCTGGCATAACTTAAAAAAAAACAGAAAGGCAGGACAAATTTGTAGCCACCTCCCAAAAGAGTAAAAAAGATTAATTTAAAGAAATATAAAACTATATATAAGTTAAGCTAAAAAAAAAAAAAAAAAAACTCCTATTATAAAACCCTGTCAGTAATACTCCCAGTGTGCTGGGTTTGGTCATTAAATGAACTATTTTACGTACGGTTCTATGATTTTCAAATTGTTCCTTAGTCTAATATTTATGGCTATTACAGTGGAGTCAATTCAGTTTGTTTTGGTAACACTTGGCCACATCTTACAGTATGAAGAACAGCCTCATATAAAATCAAGCATTTTTATAAAGAAGGATTTGAATAAAATAATGTCCTTTAAAGTCAATTTAACTTATACACATGAAAAACATTACCACAGTTATAGTTTGGTAGGGAAAGACCAAATCAATGGCTACCCTGAAAGAGGTCCCACAGACACAGATGTTGCAGCCTCTGAGATGATCAGGGCCGGGTAACTAATACCTTTTTAATTTTTAATTTAAAAAAATAATAAGGGACTTCCAGCAAAATGGCGCTCTAGGCAGAAGCACCACGCCATCCCTCTACAGCAAAGATCCAAAAAACTAAGCAGGACAGAGAAAACAACCATCCTGAAACCCTAAAACATCCAATGAAGAGATAAAGAATTTAGCCAAGCACCAAATGAAGTGAGAAAACCGAGAATGGAGAGCGAGGGGAGACTCACGCAGAGGTCCCCTATCAGCTAACGCAGCAGGGATCCACCATCTTGGACTCCTATTGGAGACCAGCAAACAGGGGATACGAGAAAGCAGCTTCACGGAGCTTCCGGCAGGAGTAAAAACAACCGTCTCTCATCTCTCCACTCCAACGGCAAGCTCCCCTAGCATTCTTTTTTGTTTGTTTATATGTCTGTGGCTCCTGTTCCTCTCTCCTCTCTCCCATATCCATCTTACCTCCATACAGAACAATCTCCCTGCTACATCCTGCCTACCTGCACCGTGCGGTTAACATCACACCACCAAGCAGCACAGGCACAGCCTACTGGAACCTGCCCTGCACTGATTACCGACCCAACCAGGAGACTGAAGTAAGTGCCACAAACAACCCATCCCAGTAACTCCTCTTCAGCGAGACCTACCCTGCCGTACCATATCTGAATGACTCACCCCGCCAACTGAAGAAGAAGGTGAAAAGTATTGCGCCCACAGACAAGCAAACAACAAAAAACACACAGCCCGCCTGCTCAGACATAGCCAAATTAAAAAAATAAAAGGGACGAAACAAACAAATCTACAATCGGTAAACAAGAAAAATAACTACTGAATGTCCCGAAGACAGCAGACAATATCAAAACATTTACAAAAACAGGACAGGATGGTTCCAGCAGGCGTTCAAAATAAAACACCAGATGACTTTCTAGTGGAAGAAAAGGCACTAGAACTACCTAATAGGGAATTCAAATCTCTAATACTCAGAATTCTCCAAGAGGGAAAGCAAAAAGCACACAAAAATGAAGAAAAAAATAGACAAATTCATGGAAAATACAAACAAAAAATTGGAAGAATTCAGGAAACTAACGAAGGAACAAAATAGCAAAATAAATTCACAACTAGAAATTATACAAAGACAACAACTAGAAGTCCAAAAGATAAACAAGATTTCAGAAATGGACGGTGTCACAGAAGGGCTGAGAAGCAGATCTGAAACGGTGGAAGACAGGATCAGTAGAATTGAAGACAAACACTTGGATACAACTCTGTTCGAGGAAAACTCAGAAAACAGAACAAACAAAAATGAAGAGACCCTGAGAGTTACATGGGATACAATCAAAAGCAAAAATATGCGAGTGATTGCAGTTCCAGAACAGGGGGAGAAAACAGAAAACACAGAGAGGATCACTGAAGAACTGCTAACAGAAAACTTCCTCAATATCATGAAAGATGAAAAGCTGGCCATCCAAGAAGCTCAATGAACC